AAAAGAATTCCCTTCCTCAAATCATATCAAAAACGAAAAAAAGGCTGACGTAGTTTTTCTTCTCAACAAAATGGGATATGATATAGAAAATGTTATATATTATCAAAATGTTTTACGCAGCACTCAAGATAACGATAACGATGAAGATTCAGATTAAGTGTTGCACGAGTATTTGTTATGTATGTTATTATTTCTTGTTCTTTTTTTAGTAAATGCATCCAAATTTACTAAATGGTAGTCAGTGTTTTTTTATTCCATATCGTACTACATCCTCATTTTTTAGCAAAATGTACCAAATCCAAATAGTTTTTGTGTGTATAATTGAAAATATTCATCTATGATTTGTAGAATTGGAAAAAAAAGATTGTTTTAGGTACCCTTTATGTATAAAAAAAACAAAAACCCATTTTAAATTATCAAAAACAAACATTATGAAAAAAGTGAATTTACCAAATTTTCTATTTCGTGGATTTGGTACGTTTTGGAAACAAGCTTCTCAAATATCTACCAAATTCATAAAAAGTCGGTACGGCCAACGAGCTTTTCTTCTAGTGCACGAATATGCTTTGACTAGTTTATCCGAATGGTCAACTCCGCCCTTAGTCTTGTTATAATCTAGGATCATGTAGGGCTTGTTGTTGCTTTCTGAACAGACTTTGTCTTCATCATGTTGACTGGACAGAATATGCACCATTCGACCTTTTTTTGGAATATAAGACACCATTGCTAAGTCCTTTGTAAAAGCGAACATTGATGATTCCACAGGTCGAGTAGTTAGTTTTAGTTGTGAAGGTGTATCAGGTTTATTTTTACGAACGGTTCCAAATAGAGTAAGATTTTTAGTTAACAAGTAATGCGCTAATGGAACACTGGTAAAAAAATTATCGGTTGTAATGGCACGCTAACTGCCATGATACGGTTCGACTAGATCTGCAACGACGCGAAACCCCTGGTTTCGTTCTGCTACAGCACCACGAAGTTACCGGTGTATACATGAAGGTTGCATAAGTAAGATGTCTTTACATCAGCAGCTGCCCAAATTTTTATTCCATATCTACCAGGCTTGGATTTTATAAATTGATTAAATGGACATTTACCTCGGAAACAAACTAACTGTTCATCAACAGTGATTTCCTCATGTGGTTGATATGAGTTCTTACAATTAGATACAAACTTATCCAAAATCTCTCTAATTGCTGCTAATTTATCCATTTGTTGTAGGTCTCCAGGAGTATTCCAGGATTCATAATACCTCAAGGCTTCTTGATTTGTATGAAGACATATTAGATCCTTCATATCTGAAGTTACAAATAAATTAAAAAAATCCAAAATCGTGGTAGAATCTTTACTGTATTTCGTAATACCAGGGCGCGCATTTACCATATTTCTAAGTAACCTTTTGGTTCTGTTGAATGGCCTTCCATTCCATATCAATCCAGATTTCGGATAAAGGTATAAAGGTCTATTTACACACATCAGTGACGCGTCAGTTCCGTGCCGTATTCGTGCATCAGTATCAGTGGTAAATGATATCGTCGCCTTTATTTTAAATGAACACGTCCACACACATCCGGCACAGTAACAATTTGTACCGTCAGGATTACATCAGTGTCAGTGCCGTGAAAATAAAAATACGTCGGCAACGATATTTTTCAATATTTACTGACGTGTTTTTGTATGCACATTGTTAGATTTTATATAGTATTAGTTTGTTTATATTAGATTTTATTTGTATTATTTCATTTATTTAGTCTGGTTTCGGAGTGCATCTAGTCGTAATCTTATGGTTGTTTAGCGTGTTATTTGTTTGTTTAGTTAAGTTTTGAAATGCTTTGGGGTGCTTATATTATAAAGTCTTTGTGTAAGGGTTTTAGTCATAATTTTTAAATAAAAAAAGGAGTCTGCGAGCTCAAAACCGTAGCATTTCAATCAGTCTTCGATTGAACACGAACCGAAACAGTTACTAATCACAATATATACAGCGTGTCCCGTATCTTCCGCATCAGAGCATTATACGGTTGTAGGATACATTATTCTGAAGCGATCTTTCTAATAAAATTTTTTCGAAATGTTTATAATAACCGCACGGGAACTGTTTAAAGGAACTGTTTTTCGTCCAATCAGCAGATCGCAAATCAGACTCAGGTAATCGGTGCCACCCTCGGCCGGTCCGCTACGCCGATGATAACTCGTTTCCCACGTGTACTCACCAATGGATTCGTCACGCGAAGAGAAATAAACTTTTTCGGTGAATCAAACTCGTCCGCTATTGGACAAAAGCGGATAACTTTAAATTGTTCCCGTGCGGTTATTATAAACATTTCGAAAAAATTTTATTAGAAAGATCGCTTCAGAATAATGTATC